GGTGTGTGTGTGTGTGTGGCTGTGTGTCTCCCAGCGTATGTGTCACAACCATATGACCCCAAGCTGATAACTGAGAACAACACGATTCAGACATGTAGAGCTGAACTCATTCCGATTCGACTAAAACGGATATCAAAATTTAATTAAAATTTCATTTTGCAATTTTTGCCCCTCGCATACTCGATGCCTGCGCCCGGGCGTACTCGATACCTGCATTTTCAGAATTGGCAGCATTAAGCAGCGACCAACCTTCATTTTTATGCACTCACATTCCAGTTGATGCGGTGCACTGGTGGTGCAATTGGTGGCTCAAACTCAATTATGACAACTCAAAGCACCAGCACACTAAAATGCCAAAAAAAATTCAATTATCTTGGCTCCGGTTTTGTTGGCCAATACGATAGATCGGACAAACCGGGCGAACCCCCACTGTCGTCTCGCCAGCGCTTTTTCCAACGGGTATTTTGTCATTTCCAAATTTGTCGCTTGACATGCGGCAACAACAGCAGCAATGTGGCAACTTCACTGCGACTGGGACTGGTGTTGGTTGTTGGTGTTGGTTACATGCCATTCGGTGGCATAATGTTGGCTTTAGCATTAATGTCAGTCAATTCCACAGTCGTTGGCCTCGTGGTCGTCTGCGGGGATATTCACGAATGTGATTTGAAAATCAAGTGATTTTTTTTTGCCTTTGCTTTTTTTTCCTTTTGTGAATGCGAATAAGCGCATCAATCATTCAGTCGAGCATCAAGTGAGCTGAAGTGTATAGTAAATGTCACTGGCATGGCCAAAGACCAAAGGCCAACATGCCACATGACGAGAGAGAGAGAGACGGGGAGAGAGGCCAGTTGCCGTACTCAAGCAAGGTCCGTGCCCGGTCTAGTCGAGGTATTGGACTTCCGTTTGGCCAGGCATTTCCGTTCGCCTCTAAGTGACAGCTCTGACTCAATGGCTTCAATCTCCAGCTGCCAGCTATGTTTATGCGCTAGTCCTTTTAACGTATTACAAATTGAAGATCATTCCGAAGCTAACAAGAGTACGTATGTGTGTGTGTAGGGTGTGTAGGTTTGCGTAACTACAGCATAAAGAGACATTTGTCATTCTCTCAGTATCTGCAAAAAGAAAGACTTTTTGCCTCATAGCTCACATGCAAACTAAGTAAACAAGAAATCTTTATAAATTCATGAAATTACAGAGCATAAACTTAGCACTAAAACACGTGTTACATGTGTGTGTAGCAATACACTCAAAGAAATATCGGAGCACTTTATAAATAAAAAAATATGATAGTCAGTCAGATTAAATTCCCTTTTTATAGTTGAAATGAGAGCAAAGGCAAAAGTGTTGAATAAATGTTTTACACTTTATTCTTCGATTGTTCGATTTGAAGTTATTCGTTATTTATTTTATTGTTATTCATTTTTAATTTTAATATAGCCTCAAAGCTTAGTTTTAGTTATGAAATAATAGGTATACACTTCTACCATTCTATTTGGCATTGGCTTAGTTGCTTTGGCTGAGTGCACACGCGTGTGCTTATTTAATATTTGTGTATCTCAAATGGCAAAGCTGTTGCTGTTGTTGTTTTAACATTGCAATTACCTTTGGCCCGGGGTCACAACTGAAGCCGTCTGTGTGAGCTCTTGTGACTGTTTTGCCGACCTGCTGTGCGATTTACCCGAGGTGACATATTCATTTGTTAGACATTTTGATTATTTTGTACGAAGCGAGAATCTGTTAGTAAGTTTACCATTTTGACAGGTGGCAACTTCAGCCCTCTAGGTGGTAACCTCTTCTCCTCCCGCTCTCACTTCCTCTCTCTTTTCTCTATTTGTGTGTAGAATATGTGCCTGTGTGTGCGTTTTCAGCTAAATGGCAATTTGCCTGCCAGACTTGGCCCTTGTGTGCATATTTTGGCTGCTTCTATAGCTGAAAATTGCATTTCGTTTATTAATTAAACCCCAATTTAGCTGGCGCAATTCAATTACGACCCTCTCAAGCGTCAATTTTAATTCGTTGCAATTTGTGGCGCATTTAAAAAAAAGCAAACAACTACAACGCACAAATTGCTTATTTAATATGCCAGTCGCATGAGTAGCTGCCATTTTATTGCCATCAATTTTCTACAAATTGCAAATAATTCAGCCAATGAAATCAATCAAGCTTTGATCAAACGCCACTTAAAATAAAGGCGCCAAATCCAACAACAATTTGCGCCGGTTCGCTTCACGGTTCACATCAACAAAGGCAACAAACCTTGGTTTGATACCCTGTTTTACCCAATCAAGCTCAAATGCACTTACACTTGTTTTTTTTTTTTGTGTACAAATTATGTTTTACACATTTTTTTTATTTCATATTTACACTTAACTTTACGTTCTTGTTTTGCTTTAATCAATTTTGACGGCAATTTATTTGTTTATTTACACAACAAAAACACGGAAAAGCCGTCCAGTTGGTTGCCCAAACCTTATTTGTTCCTTGTACATTGTCTATTATAAACCCCAGAGAGCTGCCCTACTCCCTTACCCTAGAAAAACAGTTTTCAGCAATTTTCTCTATCGTTGTGTAGTCACAATCCCGAAAAAAATAAACTAAAACAAAAACAAAAACAGCGAGAGAAAAAAAACAAAAACGTGCAGCATATTCAAAATTGAAACATGGAAAATCGCACAACGTTTTTTCCGCAATTTCGCACAGTTTTTGTTCATCTGTTGTTTTTTTGAGAGAGAGAGAGAGTTGGGTCGTGGGAATAGGCGGGTCATAGTTCATTGTTTTACGTGACGTATTGTTGGATAAACAAATGTTTATGTTTTTGCTTACTAAGCTGCGTATTTGTTAACACTTTGTTGTGTGAGAGATGGGGGGGGGATAAGCCCTGATGCCTGCATCCGGCTGCAATCTTTCTTTTTGATTGGACAACGAGCAACGAGCTGAAAAATAAATTCATTTCAACGTCAGATGCGGAGAATTTTTTTAATGCAAAAGTTGCAACAGATACAAAATCGCGTTTGGCAACATTTGGCGAGGCGCTGTACGGTGGTTGGGGATCGAAAAGTGAAAGCAACTTTTGGCGGTCAGTTGGCTAATTGAAGGCTGCCCCACAAACAGTAGATAAAAGTATTGCATGCCACCGAGCCGAGATACTTAGCTGTTATGAACCATTTAAAGCAACTGCTGCTGCCACTGCTGCTGCGTGTTACACGGAAAAATTTACTTAAACTTAAAAGCATTTGCTTTTAATTAAAAATTTCCACTTGCCGCACTTTGGCGCCGCACTGGGAATTACTTACAAAAACTAACATTGTATACACACACATAATCAATTTTGCTATGCAATTTTAATTACAAATTGTGGGCGTGGTGGTCAGCATAGTGTCTCACACACACGCGCACACACACACACGCACAGGCGTGCGGGCGCAACCCGTTGGGTATGCAAGCGCGTGTGTAAATAGCTGCATAATGGATACGCCGTTTCGTCCCAGGGGCGTAACCACGCCTCGTTGACATTCTTCGAGCTGGCAGTGATGCGCAGACAGTGTCTGCAAGAAGTTAATACACATGACGTGCAACAAATTATATTTATCGCGCATCGCCAAGCATCAAATTATAAGGACGCAACGAAAACCGCAACAGCAAGGACCTCAGCTCGGCTGCGGCTGCCGCTGCTGCGTCTGTTGCTGCTGCGTCTGTTGCTGCTGCAAATTGATGCTTAAGGACAATTTTCACTTCATTACACGCTGCTGCGGCTGCCGTAGCCGCTGCCGCAGTTGCTACCTTTTTTGCTGCTACCCCTTGCTGCAACTGTTTGTCATGCAATTTTTTTCTCCGTCTGCGCTGCTGCCTGCTCGACGATTAATTCTCAAGTGTTGCTTAAGCGGCTAAACATGCAACAACAACAAGAAAATGACGCAAAGAAACGGCGGCCGCTCCCACCGTGAAATTACAAATTGCGCCCGCCGGCAAGAGATGGCGCCACTGTTGCTGTCGCGGCTGCTGGCGCTGCCCGATGTGCACCTTTGCATGCCTAATTTAATAAGAAAAAGTACCAGCCTGTACCTGTACATCATTTAAAAGCAACACCTCCACACACACACACATACCCACACTTACATACACATAATTAATTGTGATTGATAGAAGAAATTACTTGCCAGCGGCTTGGCGGGTTGCTCGACCGGGCCAAAACAGATGGCAGCGGCATCGGGCCAAAAGGCAAGATGAAAAATCATTTCACAAACTGTCCCAAAAGCCAACACACCCACACGCACACACACACACACGTACAAACTGATCCGCACACCTGCACACGGCAAATGGGACATCATAAAGAAACTCAATTTGTTGCCGCTCGAGCGATTTGTTTGCCACGCAAATGAACAAAACGAGAAACAACCAAAATGCCCGAAATGTAGGTGTTACGGTAGGTGTTTGTTCTTGTGTGTGTGAGATTGCATATGCAGCAAAAAGCGTTGGCCATTTTAATTTATGTCGCCTGGAAGCGCTTTGCTAAGCAGCTTAACATTTGGCCCAAACACCCGAAAGGACACAAGCAGCTGCCTCCACCCGGAGCGGCTACAACATAACCTTAAAATATAGCCAAAGACTAAAAACAACGGCTTAGCCAAAGCACAGCCATAGCTATGCTGTGTGCCTGTTTGTGTGTGTGTGTGTGTCTTTGTGTGTGTGAGAGTATAATTCGCTAGCAAATTGAAAATAAACGCAGGGCGCTGACTAAAAAACGCGCTGCTACTTTTTACCTCGTTTATCTAAGTGTGTGTGTGGAGTGTGTGTGTGTGGACTAGCTGCTTGTGTGAGTGCAGCCAAGTTCGCGTCGCTAAACTGCAAAAAGGCCCTGAAAAAGCGAAATGTTCCTGCATACAGTTTCTTGTCAATTTCTCACATCTATTGCTGGAAGCTCAGCTTTATTAATATTATTATACTAAATATCTCTGATTAAATATAGTATCATGTCAACCTATTCAATTTTAAAGAAATTATCTTTACAATTATTTATTCAAAATCCCTGTTTCTTTTCACATTGAGTTTATTATTTATATTAAAAAATCCTTAAGCTCAATAGCCTCCAGCAGTCGCAATTGTAGTTCATCCAAACCAATATTGCCGGGAATAATAAAAGAATTCATGGAGACTATCATAATGGCTGGCAGTTGATCGAGTTTAGTGCTGGCAGCCAAATCGACAGCCGACTGGTCGCAGTGCTTGCCCAGCTCGAGTATAAAGAGTTGTTCGTTGCTTTTGCAGGTCAGATCCCAACCATAGAGCACAAAGTTCTGCTTTAACAGCTCCAAAATGCTCTCGTCCTGCAGCAGGCGATGGCAAAATATGTTTGTCAGAATACTTGCGCCATGATGCAAATAAATGGCTAATAGCTTACGCTGCACAGATAAACAAAACAACAAAAACATAAGTTTCGGAACTGCTGAACGGGCGTATATGGTATTTACCTCATTTTCCAGATTGGAAGCCTTGGCCAGTTGCAATGCGCTTTCAAGGCTGCCCACATGAAACTCCGGATGTGGTGCCCCAAAGCGTTGCTTGTAATTATCCACAAACTGCTTGGAACCGGTCGCCTCACAGATTGTTCCGTCGGCTATCAAATGGGTTGGCGCCGGCTTTGAGTCGAAGCAAAATAATTGATAGCCTCTTAAATCAGACTCAGAGTCCGATTGGGATTCATCCGACGAGCTGTCGATATACTCGTATTTGTCATCCGCCTCAAAGTCGCTGCTCGACTGCGAGTTGTTGTGCGGTTGGTCTGCGGCCAAGTTGCTCTGCACCACAAAACTGTGTCTGCGCCCGATTCCCGACTGGGCCAAATTGGTGGCATTGTCAACGGCCACGTCCAGTGGCCAGCCTGACCAGACCTGATGCCTTACCGGTATGTCGGTTATATAATAGATATCAGTTTTCAGCTCCAGCAATGTGGTGTTCTCCGGCAATGTCAGCGAAATCGAACGTCCATCCGGCTGCATCGAGATCTTGATTTTATATATACGACTGTCGTCATCTTTGGCATCCGCTTCATTCAGAGTCAGTCTGTCAAGGTTGGGCAATTCTTGCTCCTCTTGTTGCTTTAAATCGTGCTCCATTTCCCAGAAATGTCTCTTGGTGAATTGCAATTGAAATTGCTTCGGAAAACGCAGCACAAATGTAATGCTTGGCTCCGTTCCAATTTATTTTCTTTCACTTTATTCTCTTGTTGTATTCTGCTTCTACCTGTTTTTATTTTTCTTTATTTTATATATCAAATTGTCATTTCGTTTATCGATTTACCTGTTGGTCGCCAAGTTGCCGCCTGTTCCAAGCTGCAAATCCCAAAAAAAAATAAAAAGATTGCCTGAAATAAATTCAAACAAGCTGAAAAATGTTATACAAAACTTTTATAATTAAACGCTAAGCACACTTGGATATTATTCTACACGTAATGAGGCGAGTGCGTGCTTTTTCTATCTGGTATCAAGTTTCTTTGCGCTGTATTGCTGTTGTTGTGCGAACAATTTCTAATTTAAAGTTGCAAAAAAACAACTGATTGCAGCAGCAGCAGCATTAAATTGCACGTTTTGGCCAAACTTGAGTAAACAAACAAATGCGCTAACATGGCTGAGGGCCATCGCATGACCACGCCCACATGCCGCCCAGACGACGAAAGCTGACTGTTGCAGCTGCCAAATGGGCAGCGCGCAGTTTACGCTCATTACACGCTACCAATAACTACACACACACACGCACACACACACACATACAAGGGGCAACACTTTGCCAGCAGCACTTAATTACAAAATGGTTTTTTTGGCGAACAGCGTAAGAAGCAGCTGCTAGCCGCCTTAGGCAAACTTCCTTGTGTATATGTATGTGAGTGTGTGTGTGTGTGCCCATGTCTGTGTGTGTGTGTGTGTGTGTGTGTACTATTTTGCTTGTCTTGTTGCTTTTGCATCTGCAGCTGCAGCTGCAGCTAGGTCTTGCTGCTGTCAATTGCAACATGCAACGTTGCGCTTTTTGTGCCAATGATGATGGCTACAAGCCCAACCGACCACCCCGACCCAACCCCCTTCCAGCACAGCAACTTTTGAGCTGACTGTCGCAGGCAGCCTAATAGGTTTTTTTCTTGTTGTGCCCAGACATTTATGCAACCCGCGCGCGCAGAGTAGGTTAGGGGCAACTCAAGCGAACGTCGCAACAACCCCAGCTGTTCTGGTTTTTCATCCACCTCAAGCTTGTTTCTTGCTCGGTTCTGTTGACGGTTTTTAAAATTATTACATCTTATTTACAATGTGCGAGTTGTTGTTGTTGCTGCTGTTGTTGTTGTTGCCTGTGCTTTAAGGCGTGGCAGCGACATGTTGTTGCGCCTGCTGCTTGTAACAAAAGAAATGTTGCAAATTAAGCGCTCGGCTGCGTGCGGCGCACAAGTTTCAAGTGCGCTGCAAACAGAACAAAGCAGGCAGCAACAACAACTGCAATTGCAGTAAAATTAAATAAAAAATGCTCTTGTTTCTTTTTATGCCATGCAATGCTCACATAACAGCACAGAAACACACACACTTCACACATACACGCACAGATATTGTTAAGTTGCTCGTAATTGTATTTCGACATTTTTGTTGCACGCTGCGTATGCGTAATATTTTATTATGTTGCTGCATTTTTAATGCCGCAACAAGCACTGCGCGAAAATATGTCATCGTTTTGCAAGCGCTTTAACCGCACAACTTTATTTTCCTTTTAATTTTATTTGTTGCAAACCCCCCCCCTCTGTTACTCATGTGCAACAAACTCATTTTGCGAGTCGGTTACTTGAAATTGGATTAAAGTTGCTGCCGCTGCTCTCAGATTCGTATTTGCGTCGCTGCAAACTTTTTAACAACATTTCCCTTAAAGTTGGCTTTAATACATGTCCAGTTAACATGCCAGTGTCCGCTTGGTCAGCCAGCAGGGTGCTGTGTCTCGGGCTGGGGCAGCGGCAGCTGAGTGTCGAGTCTCATTTCATGCACACGACAATATCAGTGAAAATGCCGGTAATAATATTTGAGGTGCTCCGCAATGGCGCCTGCAATGGCATATGTGTAGTGCACGTTCAACCGTTAGACAGCCCGCCCCCATACTGGGCCTGTCCCTCCAACTGGCTGTCTGCCACTTACACGCTGCCTGGCAATGGGCACGTCGAGCAGCTCCCCAACGGCCGGTCCGCAAAAGCTGACCCAGAATGCAACTTGTGCTGCTTAGTTGCCTGTGTGTGTGTGTAAGCTGAGCTGAAGCTGCAATGTTTTACTAACCACAAAATGCTGTAACTAAACGCGTACTCACACATGTAGATAGATAGAGCTGGGAGGACACGAAGCATACAGCACTACTTATGGAGCACTTGAGGCAGCTGCACAGGTAAAACTGCTGCTTGTTCCACACGAGCTATGCGACACAACCAGCCATACACGTTTAGTTTGGCAACTTTGCCACGAACACACCCCCACACACACACACACACCCGCAACATATTGTTATGGTCATGCCAAAGTTCTTGGCCCCAAAAATTGTCACCGTTTCTAGTTGCAATGTTTAGCACATTGACAGCATAAACTTTAACTAACATTTTGATATGGACCGGACTATCCCAAGGCGCGTACACATGAAATTGTTATAAATGTGTGCGAAATAGATGTTCTATAAGCTAAGCTCTCTTCAGTGCGAAATATTCAGGTTTTTATCTTGAAAATATTTGCCTTTGCCTCTCCTGGCTACAACAAACAAAACAAATCTGAAACTTTTGTTTATTCTTTGCCAAAATGCATTCATTTAATTAGTTTCAAAAAGGCATTCACAGTATTTGTTAATATAATGAAATTTCACATGAAGCGTTTTCTATAGAATTGGCAGTTCTTTTCTTTGGTGGAGAGAAAAATGTTCATTTTATTTGATACACTTGTTGCATTTATCTTGAGTCTTTTTTCTTTATTCACAGAAGCTAAAGTGCTAAGAAATAAAGCCAAAGTCAAGCTTTTGAAACCATAACTTATATCACATAAGATTCATATCCGATTTGCAGTTTTGAAATAAATAGCATTTCATTAGAGATCTGAAGATCTGACTGTCAATTTAATTTTTTTTGCCTTCAACGTTTTTTTAAAGCGAAAACAACTCAATTGCATTTAATAAAATTTGCGCTGGTTGGGCTTTCGAGTTGAAAACTAACTTGACGCTAAGTGCACTTTTGCCTGATTTGGCAATCATTTAAGCACTGTGTCAGTCAATCAGCCAGTCAATAAGCTTGACATAGGCCACCAATATAATCCTAATTCAATTGCCTGGCCACGTAATGGGCCAAGCAGCACATCACCAAATCGAATGGCAGCGTTACGTCTGGTCTGTGAACGGCGGCTGGTAATGTAATCCTGTCAGAGGCTGGGCGGCTGTTTAATCAGGCGTCAAACATCAAAAAAGTAATTCAAAATGCTCAAGCGCAACACACTTCGTATGAGTGTTTTTGTTGTTGTTGCTGTTGCTGCCGAAGTGTAGAGTAAGAGGACTTTGCTTTGCGAGGCAACGAGTTGGAAGCCAGTGAGTGCACGTCTGCAGTGCTTTGATAAAATTCGTTAGATAAATCAGCAGAAAAGTGTTGAAGTGTTGGAAGTGTTGGTGGCGAACCCTTTGAGCACTTGCCAGCCAGCAAAACTAATTGAAATCCGAACGAAACTCATTTATTTGCTCTCCAAATTAGAAATCTTTGCAGCTGGCTGGCAGGCAGCAGGCAGGAAGCAGGAGGCAGGAAGCAGCAGCTGTCAGCACAGATAATTTAAATAAAATATTTGGGCTGCAGATCAATATAAATATGAGTAATGCATGCTTTTAATAAGTGTACATAATTCACATGTAGAAATTTCCAAGCTCGAGCTGACGAGTAAAATGCAACTATACGTCCATTTCTTTTGGCCCTCTCTTGCACGGATCCTTTGCTCTTGGGTGCGCAAATCCGCTCGATAACGAAATAAATTGCTTTCAGCAAATGCTTAGTGCTTTGATTAATAGCCACAACCAGCAACTGGTTCTCGAATAAAGCAACTTCTGGCCACACTTTGCTGCTCCTTGTTGCTTCTTTTGCTTTACTCCTTGCTGATGAGCGCACATTTACTCAAATGTGCTGCGTGTGTGTTTGTGCCGTACGAATTTAATTGAGTGCTAAATGGCACGTAAACTGATAGGTCAACGCACACACACACACACAAGCACTCGTAGACACACAGTCGAATAGTATAGACAAACTTTTTGCTGTCGAAGGCGTTGCCAAGGACATGAGCTAGAAAACCCAAGTATGTGCATCAATGCTACACGTATGTCAGCAGTCGGCGGCAAGGACAAGCACTTGCCAAATTGTGTGGGCGTCAATTAATTTCTTTACACATAATGGAAACTTTACATTTGTTAGCCATCCAAAAAAGTATGCAACACTCTTTCGATTTGCCCCCTCCTTAGCAAAAATTTGCTAGCAGAGTGCGTCACATTAGCAGCGCAATTTGTTTGGTAATCCCCATTTGGCAAGTCTTTGTGCTTGGCTGAGCAGCAAGGCCTTTTTGGCCAGCTAATCCCAAGTGTTGATGTACACATGTGTGTGTCGGTGAAGCGCTTGGTACGTCAACACGTGCAAATAAAGCATTCAAATAGCCAGCCACACACATTGGCAGACAAAGAGACAGAGAGACAAGACAACGTCAAAGGCGCCTTGACCGCAATGAGTGAAATGAGAAGCGGTTCAGCTCTCTGTCAATGTATTGGGCTCATTCTCAATCTCAGTGTGGGTTTGACTTATACAAACAGTAAACCACACACACACACACACTCACACACACTCACACACAGACACACTAGCCACACGCATTAAACGAGCTCAGTCGCCGCACGTCTCAAGTTTATCAAAAGACAGCAAATAAAAATAGAGAGAAAAACGACAACGAAAATGAAGCGCGCTAAAGGCAAACCTACAGATAAATAGAGCTAGATAGAGACACATATACAGTGATAAAGAGAGAGAGAGATGGCAAATAGAGCTGGCCAGCAATAATAACAACAAGAACATAACCACACTTAATTCATTCGTGATTTATATGAGTCGCTTTCTGTGACTTAAAATGTGGCTCTTGCTGGGCTCTGGTTTTTTGGCTTGAATGTGGGATTGGCGGGGGGTGGGTGGGTTAGGGCGGCTTCAAAAACTAACTATAACTATTTTTGCGGTCTGCCCCGAAGCTCACCAAAGTGCTTAGACTTGCAGGGTGCACTCGTTTTTGGCCACGGCTCTCAATTAAAAATTCCTCTTGAGCTGCTCAAAATTCAATTCAAATTTTCGGCCCAGATTCTTGTAAGCCCAGCAAAAGCCAGCTAAACCGCTGATAAAGTACGACAGCAGCATCCACACACACACACACACTAACACACACAAACTTAGAAACTTGGCTAAGCCATGCAAAAGCAAGTTTCAATTTTTTGGCTCGAAACGCCATTTTGTCACTTTGACAAAATTGTTGCTACTTTTCGAATGGGGGGGTGGTCAGAGGGGGATTTCAAACAAAGAGGGGAGGTTCGACCGGGGCCCAACTTGTCGTTCAAGTGACATTCAATTATTATTTCAGGCAGGGCAACAAAAAGTTTTGCTACAAAACGAAACGAAACGAAATTTAGCTACAAACGAGCAACGACAATATTGTAAGAAGATAGTATTACAGCCAGACAAATGTCGGGGACTGCAGAAGAGACACTCACGAAGACACAGATACACGAACAAACAAACAAACAGACAGACGGAGGGACAAGCAAACAAGCGGACACACCGACAGGCGTAGAGATAGACAGTTAGATAGATAGTTGGATAAGGAGAGGAGCATAATGCGTATTTGCGCATTAAATGCAAAACTTGGCAAATAGTTTTGTGCCAAAAATAAAATCAAAACTAAATTTAACAGCAACAAAACTGAAAAGAATTGAAATTAAATGAAAATCAAAACTTTTCAATTGCTTTCTAAGCAAAAGAGACAGCCAGGCCGAAAGCTTCTAAAGATCTGGCAAGCTTAACTTTATTTTACAAAGATAAATGTGCCTAAAGTGAAAACAACACGATTTTACCTCAATTAAGCTGCAAGCAGGTAGAAGGAACGAGTTCTCGATACATTTTGATTTATCTGTGAAAAAGAATACCATACAAATTGTGACTATCTTGACTGTTACACCTCATTAGAGGAATGCATACTATGCCAGATATACGAGTGATATATTTTTAATAGGTAGATTTTAATGGATATTGGCAAAAAGTTGCTAGCTGCTAGCTGGGAAAACGAATGACTGGAAGGCAGGCAAGTGCAAGTGCGAGTGCTCGCAATTTGGGCAGAGCCCAGAAGCATGCAGCTTAAAATTAATGACAGCGAAGTAAATGTCAGCGCAGAATGAAAAACAAGACCGAAATGCCAGGCGCAACTTTACCAACCGCGACGTGTGGCAAAAACAATAACAGGACGTGGACAAGGACGAGGAGAAGGAGGGGGAGAAGGAGGAGGAGGATATGAACGTGCATGTGGATGTGAATGTGGACAGGAACGGGCAGCTCGAAGGACGCTGACTGCGATGCATGGCTTCCGGTTTTTGTTCGCGCGCTAGTATTTTCTGTGCCCTGCCGCCCTGTCGCCCTGCCACGGCAGCCATTGCCATTGCGTGCGCGAGTGTCGCATATGCACATTTTATTTATAAACTCGCAGCAAAGTAGAAAATAAAAAGCGTCCAGCTTCGAGCGGTATGCACCTCAGCAGGCGCTCCAACCGCTCGCCGCCTTGGCCCCAGCTGGGTATTGCATGTGCTGCGATAAAAGTGGTAAAATGCTTATCAAGCCCAAGCCGGATGTGCACGGTGTCAAACAGTGGCAGCCGTAGACGAAGGGGCGAGCAACAGCAGCTGCAAATAGTTTTTATGGCAACGGTAATATAAGCGGTAGTTTAATGCATAATTGAAAAGCACGCAAAGTTGAACAATAGAGGCGAGCATAGAGCATCGAGGGACCCGATCACAGAAAACACAAGCATTACACTGGAATGCAGTCACATAAATAAATGCGGGCTGAGTTAAACATAAAATCAGACTCGGTTGTGAAATATTTCGCAAATACTGTCACACGGAAAGAAGAAGAAGGAATGAGGGCTACACAGTCACACTTACATGCGGTCACACTTAATATGCAATCCGATTGTTCGGCCCAATTTTTGTTAACCAGTGTAAAGCAGTGGCAGAGGCCACGACTTCGCTTCACTGACCATTTTGCTCGTATTTGACTTAATTTACGAGTCCCAACACGAGACGTGACGCGGGCGAAAAGCTCTGGAGAAATTTCTGTCAAATCACAATTTAATGGCAATCAACATTTTAGCTATTTCGCACTTACTTGCACTTGATAATGGTAATTATTTAACAATAAGTGTGCGATGAAGCACGAAACGGAAGCGCAAATGAACTGTGAAATGTTTTTACAATTATAAGTGAGAGAAGCAATTGCAAATAATAGCACAAACACAAACACACACACAAAGGAAAGACCTTGAGCGCAATCTGAGTGCGAATTAAGTGTGAATCAGCATTGAATAGCATATACAGTATGCTAATTGAATGCCCACTTAAGCCAAATCAGGCTAAATCGGCGCTTTGTGTCACACTTGAGATGCACTTAAAGAGCGCTCTCTCAGCCGTCAAACATTACTCGCCGTCATCCGGCGACTGCACAAACAAAACGCGCTATAAAATGTAAAAATACTGCCAAAGTATGCAAAGCTCCTCATAAAAACACTCAAAAACTAACGTGCATTGCAACTGTTGGCTGCTGCTGCTGCTGCTGCTGCTGCTGCTGCTGCTGCTCCTGTTGCCGGCACGTCCTTCGTCCTTTGTCCTGCGTTCTTCGTTCTGTGTGCGTGCTTTTGTCTGTGTCTGAAGCTAGCTACTTGCTTAGCTCCTTCCTGCCGCCTTTGCATGCCCTGGCTTCCTTCCTGAAAATCCATCAGCGCTAATTTTGCATATTTTACTTGGCTCTTACTTTATTTTTTCTCTATCTGCCTCTCGCTCTCTCAGTTTATGCGCTTTTATTTGGCTTAGCCGGCTTGTGACTTGTGTTTTCACAGCCGCAGCCCAAAGATATTTTAGATATGCGCAGTTGAAGGCAATCCGGATTCTGTGGCCTTGTGTCTGCTCTGATGATGAATTATGTGCGCCACGTACGTTATTAATAATTCCTGTCCTGTCAACAAATACATTGTTACATTTGCCCCAGCTCACACCTCTCTGCCCGGCCCTGTCTCGCTAGCCTAGCCACAGGCCGCCCACGTTGCGTATGCGTAATATGTTTATTTTCAACGCTGCGGCTAGAAATTTATTAAGCAGCTGCTGCGCAGCTCCAACCGCAACATGACGAAAAAAACCAATTCGTGTTCAAATTGAAGCCTGTGGCCAGCAGGCGTGGGCAGCACTGGTTCCAAGGAAGTACACGCCTCTGACGCAAATCACGTTTAAAGCGCGACACATGACGGATGAAGTCCACGAATTGCTGCAAGCATAAAAACATACGCAGTTATATCAGAGCGATTCTATCAACTCAGATTATTTATATTGAATTCAATCTAGCTTTAGCTAATACGATCGTCTCACGTAACGCGCAGCAGTTGCCGCTGAATCAGCTGCGACATTGCGCATACGCCGCGTGTTGCGTCATCGGCTACCCGAACTGGATTGCGGGCGGAGGGCTGCCGGGGTCTGTTTGTTTGCACATTGTATTGAGTTTCAAGTGCACAAGTTAATTGCTTGAAAAATTGAACTCAATCAATTACCAGCACACACACAAAGGCACACGATGTGTGCGTGTGTGTAAGAGAGAGGCAGAGAGAGAGGAGAAGAGGCAAGGCGTTAGCTCCCGTGGGCAACCGTTTTTTTTGTAAAGAAGCACACATCGCGTGCACACGCAACGATGTGCGTGTGTGTGTGTGTGTGTGTGTGTGTGTGTTAACACCACTTAATAACACTAATTTATTTTATGGTGCTGCATACTTTCGGGGGTTGCGCATATTTTATTGTTTCGGCATAAATGGAAATAATATTTTGAAATTAAAAAATTTAATTTAATTAAATTGCCAACTTCTTCCCAAATTAGCTGATCATTTGCCTTGCTGCCATTTGCATTTAAATGTTGCAGGCACAAGAACTGACAGCTGACGGCAAATCAAATGTCGGCACTTTTGGGGCAACTGGGCAAACAGAAGCTGCACATTAATTAAACATATATGTGTTATGCACACACGCACACACAGACAGCTACAAATAAACACTTGTATGTACAAAAGCCAAACAGAGCGCAACAAATAAAGAGACAAACAGCAACAAGAACAACTACTTGAGTTGGCAGCTAACTTGCCACACACAAACACAGTCACATCCACATCCACACGCACATCCACACACACACACGCACATCCACACACACACACGCACACAGAGAGAGAGAGAGAGAGGCAAACTCGCATTTATTTAGTTGCTTATTGTTCAAGTACAAATTTAATATCTAAGCTCAAGACAATGCAATAAAGTTGAAATTAGTTCGGGCCATAATTTCAGGTGAACATCCGGAGGCAATGCAAACTGGCTCATCCGGTTGCCAGTACAATTGGCTGACAATTGTCATGCTGCTGGGCCTGGTGCTCGGTTACAGTCAGCGGCAGCAGCAGCATTGTGCCACACTCGCCACATGGGGCACTCGCAGCCGAGACGTCACGCTCGCGGCCAGTGAAAGTGACATCCGAAGAACAACAACATCATCAGCAGCAGCAGCGGCAACAGCAGCTGCGAAACGTGCTGCTGCTGGCGGCGGCCTTGAAGCGTCGCCTGCGGCCAGCCGCAGCAGCAGCAACAGTCGACAGGCGTGCCACGCCCACGCCCACGCCCACGCTAAACGCAGCTGCCACAGATGATCGCATGCAGCCGGACTTAACAACGCGAACTAAGCAGCCACATGAAATGTGTGCGCGAATGTATCCACAATGTGTATGTATCTATATATCTCAATGTGTATGTATCTGTATCTGTATCTGTAAGTGCATATGACGGTCACGACTAGCTAAATACTGGCATATTTAGTTATTTGTCAAGTCCTGTTGCCAGTTATAAACTAGCAATTCATATGTGTACAACTCTTAAGTAGATGCTGCCGCACTCCTAACAAAAATGTTCCCTCGCCCCCCTCCCCCTCCGCCACGCCCCCTACATAGGCAAATGAATAAACATTTAATGTGTATTTTGTATAGTTTAAGCAGCGTGTAAATAACTAACGTAAACTTATTAACGTAATTGCAATATCAAATTTATCACACAACAGCAAATAAGCAAACAAAAAAAAAAAACAAAAAGACACATAAAATATGAAAAGCGAGAGAAAAAATCAAGAGGTTTTGCAATGGCTCTTTAAATAAATACATAAATACGAAGCGAGCGAGGCGCATTAAATAATTAGAGAAAAACGTGGCAGCCACAACAGAAATAACACTCACAGATTGAGTGGGCCTTCAAATATTTAAATTAATTGCCATATCATGCAAATATTTGCTCAGCGCATTTTTTCCTCGCCTTCTCCAATGTTATGCTCTATATATATATTTATTTTTTGAATCAATAAATGCCAATTAATTTGGTATTCCAATATGAAAAATAGTAAGAAGTAGAACAGACCTGCATGGAAAAAAGCTGGAAAGCCTTGGCAAATATCAAATTAGGCCCTCAACTTTTCATGATGTGCTTATTTTATTTATTTTAAAGCAAAACGATTTGTTAATAATATTTGTTTATCGCATTAAGCTGCATTATCTTCACATATTTAACAAAAAAATGTAATATTTATTTATTTATTATTCCAGGCATCAGAAATAACAGCTTTAATTTCATTTCATTTGATTTGATTCGAACTTATATTTTTATATCCTTATAGAGGAGAGTATAATTTTGTCATGAAATGTGTAACACATAGAAGAAGATATCACCAACCCCACAAAATATATATATTCTAGATGAGCATAACAGCCAAGTTCATATAGCCATGTCCGACTGTCCGTCCGTCCGTCCGTCCTTCGGTCCGCCTATCTGTTTCTATGCGAACTAGTCTGGCAGTTTTAAAGCTTTTGTCTTGATACTGCGCATAGGTCCTTCTTTCTATTTCAGGCAGTACATATGTGGGAACCGTCCGAATCAGACTACTATATCATTTAACTGTATTAGGAGCAATCGGTCAAAAAGTTGGCTCTGATATGAACCCTCTATTTCATATTAAGATAAATTGACAAAACTTGGAATTTATTAGTTCCATTATGATTCTCATATATACGCGAGATCCACTTCTTTATTATAAGGAAATATCGGTGGAATTGTACGTTTTTATATGGGAAAATATTCGGTTTTCAAAGATATTTTTAACAAACTCAGCATTTTCGAGCTGCGCTATTCACACATATCTGTAAAAGGGTATTAAATCTTCGGCATGCCTAAGATATCCTTACTTTTGCGTTTTTAATTATATTTGCAATAGTTTAATAAATATATTTTTATGGTTGCCATTTGATTCTATTTGACTGTGAATTCGACAAATTAATTTAATTTGAAGCCACTTTACGTTGGAATTTGCATTTGGCACTGGACAATGCGAATTGCTAACTTAATAAAAATTCTGTTGACACGCCACATATATGCCACATACATTTAATCAATTGCCACAGAAAAAAATTCGGAATTTTTGCTAACTTTTATTTGTTAAACACAATCACAAATATAGCTCAATTATTGGCTATAAAGTTATCAAAACTGGTAATGTAATTAAAATAGGTGGCTGAGGCTGTGGCTGCACGTCGTGATGCAAATTGAACTACAATTAAATTATAATTAAATTTAATCTAAGGCCATGTTATAATTTGCAATCAATATTGTTGCTGCAATGCAGGCAATAATAATAACCATAATAATAATTATAATATTAATATTAACGATATTAACAATAACAGTTTGTCCCATTCCAATCAACATAAGTTAATGTTAGTCATATAACTATAGGTCACACAAGTATGCGTATGCCTGCTTGATTGCAACATAAAATAAGATTATAAAATGATATGTTGGCCACGATAAGGTGCATAACTTTCATGCAACCTTTGCCTTTGATATTCGGTTTTACGTAAAAATCAAAAAACATCCTTTATTCTTCAGGTGTAAAGCGCATATTTAACCAGAAAACACAAGCAACTCACCTAATCAATCAAAATGTAAACTGTTTATAAACTATATATATACTCTATATATATATACATATAGGGTATAAGTGTATGTAATAGCAAATGCCAGCCAATTGGTTATGTTGAAGCCTTAAAAGGGTTGAAAGCAACTATTTAAACACAGCATATTAATTACACTTCTATTGTAGGTCATCAGACAAAATAAATTCCTGTACATTAAAGTTAATTAGTGCAACTTTTGGAACCTTGAATGCAAGCGAGTGCGTGAGTGTGTGCGTGTAATCCAAATTATCCACATAAGCTGCATATTTAAAATATTATATTAAAACAACATCATGGCATAGTTATTAGTTATGCGTTTGAATAAAGCAATTGAATTGTATGAAAGGAAGCTAAACTAAAAGCATATATAACGAGTACTTTTAACTGTTGAATTTAAATACAAGTAAATTAAAAGAACAGTTAATTAAAAGCTAGTCCAAATATGTACTATAATAATATAGTATAATACTATGTATAATTGGACGCTCAAAATCGATAACAAATACAAAAACAAACAAAAACGAATGAGCACACGCGTAAGCATGCCATAATATAGAAGACTTAGCAAAGCATTACAACAATAACAAAACTAATAGAAAAAAAAAACAACAAATACCATATGCAAATGTCGCCAGAATAAAAAACAAAAACAAAAAAAAAAAGAAGCAAAGCATTTGTTAGTAAAAAACATAAATTGTGAACTGTTGAGCGTGTGCACGTGCCACTGCAACTGCAACAACAACAACAAAATGAACATCAACAACAGCAACTATGTACATTAAATAGTGCAAAATGAAACACAATTAAACATTTTTTTATTTAAAAGAAAAGAACCCGTTTACGTGTTTTGATAACTTTACGATTTGGTGCAACTCGTGCGATTTCATTTCTTTTGATATAAGCTGTTCAATTATTTATGCAAACTAAAATGCAATGCAGTAGCAGCAGCTGGCATAATACCCTTCACGGCAACCCGCTCCTGCCCAGCTGTCCCGCCTGTGCCCGCCTGTCCACCTAGAAAATAGGCAACGACAGCCGAAGAAATGAAAAATAAGCTGCAACGTATGCGTGTGTCACATGTAATCTCTGGATTATAGACAGCAACAACCAGGCAGCCCGAAGCTGGGTCCTCTTGCAGCCAGGCAGCCGGCAACATGGCAGTTGGGCACTTTGAAAAACTGGGTCAGCAGATAAATCGAAAGGGCTTAAAAATGAAACTAAGGTATCAATTTCATGGCCAAGCCCAAATATTACATGCTCTTTTAGCTATTAATTTTGAGAAGCAAATGCCTATTTACATACTCAAATTATTTTTATAGATTTCGAGCAACATTCTTTAAAATAACGCTCGTAAGAATGGATTTAAAGCTTGGTCAACAATTTATTTCAGAATGCGCTTCGGCTTTGTGCTCAAAAGTAAGTAAAAATAAACTTTAATAAGACATAAATTGATAATTAATTAAAACCTGCTGGAAGGGAGCGCAGTAAATAATGTTAAGTATTAAAGGAAATGCTGTATGCACTGCTTGCATCAAGTCTAATATCCGCGTGCACTGCTTTCAACTGCTTGACTAGAATGCGTGTTGTTTCTTGGCAGCAAAGCTTATTGCGCAGTTATTGTAGCCCATGGCAAAGAGTATTCCAAACAAAACAGTCTCTCGCATAATTCCATCCGCTGCGAACTTTGACAGAGCAACAACAAAACAAGAATACCAATTGAAATGCCTCATTAATTAAAATACACATACAGAAAGTAAAGGATGCGACAAACGGAAATTAAAAATGTTAAATTAAATTGCAGCAACAATTGACAACGCACAATTCTGCAATTGTGTAATTCTATTAAAATGCGCCGCAAAGCGGCGCTAATCCTCATGCATGTCCGCGTCCAAAATAATCAAGCTAGCCACAAAATGGCCACATGCAAACCGCGCGCCAATGAGGCATATAAAACTTGCTCCACTTTCAGGATCAGTTTGGCGGCCCGACATTTTTGTGACTGCGTTGGCATAAAAATATTTATACGCTCGCCTGACTCCCAAATGTTGCGCGCTGCTTATGCAAATTTTATTCTTTTTTTTTTTTGTGTGGTTGCCTAAGCAACCGTCGCAGCGCTGGTCGTGGCCTGTTGTTGTTGTCCTTGCGCTTCCTCATGGCCATGGACAACAGCATGTAATTTGGGCCGATAGAATTTATTTAATGCCCCGGCATTAGACACATTTGTTGCCCAGCAGCAGTCGCAGCATTCTCGATATTGATTTGAGAGCAGCCGTGACTGGAACGTAGAAATGTTTTAACTTAACTCTTAAAGCGCTCACACGTTACAACCTGAGCCCTAGATCTGGCATTTAGTTTAGCTACTATTTAGCAGCTTCTATGCGCTAATTTTGCGGCATATTTTGGGCGTCGAAAGCCTTTTATGGCCTGTAATATAGCAGTTAAACAAATGAGAGATAAGCCAAACGGGTTGGGATTGTATGAAACTTGTATGACCTCTCAGGATTTGAGAGATTCGAGAGTAAACCGTTTCCGAAACTTGTCGTAAGTAGAATATGCTGGGTTTGTTTGTAGTGTCAAACATTTCTATTGAGTTTCACGATTACATTAAATATATACGTGGTATAACTCGAGTATTTTAAGTCCGATTTTGGAATTATTTAAACCTTTTAAGACTCGTACGAATCACAGTTGTAAATTGCCATTACAAAATTATGAATTTCGACTAAATTTAGTACATTTTACATCACAATTCTTGCTAAATTTGAGTCGGTCCCTTCAACCTTCAATTGCCATTCAAAAAAGCCCATACTAAAATTTGATCCAATTTTGGCAATTGGCAAGGGGTTACATCACAATTTTGGCCAAAAGCGCTTCGGAGCTATAGTCAAAAAATGTTAGTTCCAAACGATTCTGTAGACCTCCAC